CAGCTGGTATGTGCCAGAGGCAGGCCCAGAAACCAGTTCTTCCTTGGTTCAAAGGGGAATTTTCTATTCCATTTGTCATGCTGACTTTCATGATGTATTTAAAAGAAAAAGGCTGTCCCCTCAATTGTGTGCTAGGGCAAGCTTAAATTGGATTATGAGAGTCTGTTGTTAAATTTTGAGTGTGAACATTTGTTGTTGTTCATTCATATCTGACTCTTTGTGACCACATGTGGGATTTTCTTGGCAAAGATACTGGAGCGGTTTGCTATTTCCTTCTCTAGTGGATTAGGGTAAACAGAAGGTAAGTAACTTGCCCAGAGTCAGACAGCTGGAAGTGTCTGAGGCCAAATTTGAACTCAGGACTTCCTGATCCCAGGCCTGATGTTCTATCCACTGAGCCATCTAGCTAGGAACATTTTTATCTTGAAAACTGTAAATGTGAACATGGAAAAAGTTACAAGAATCAGTGCTTGATTTAGGATTTTATTGGTTGTCCAGACAAGAAAATGATGGAGAAAATGCAGTTAAATGCAGTTAATGTAGTTAAACCTTAAAAGTATGTTGTGGGTACATTTTTTTTAAAGAGCTGGTTGTTAAACATTCATAAACATGCTAATCCCCTATATCCCCTGATTAAAAGAAGAAAAAAGACAGATTGCTTTTGAAAATACTTTCAAATCAAAAGGAATTCATTTTCCCAATCAACTGATGCAAACAATATCTTGCATCCTACTTTCAGCTCATCAAAAAGACTAATGGATTTGTGCTTCTAAACTTGTTTGAATAATTGTGCTCTTGCCCATTCCAGTAGCTATTATTTTGAGACAGGAGGATTTCTGCCATGCAATTATAGATTAGGCATTCATATTACACCTTGTGTCAGAACAGCAAAATTCCAGAAAGGCAAAATCCTGAGTAGGTCACTAAGCCCAGCTCTGTGTTGTTCTTCTTTAACCTCTTAAATATTTGATTTTGTTCCGGTTGTTCTTTCTTCCTCATTCTCTGACAAGTTGCTAGAGCTGGAAAATGGATTGCTAGCAATCAAATAATGGAGTATCTAAAAGGTCAACATGATATAAATACCTTGTTTTCTTTCAAAAAGAAAATGAGTTGTTGAAGCTGCGATATGCCATCTCAGGGCTCGACCTTCTTTAGAGCTTGGTCATTTCTACCTGAGAAGGGTGCTCGCGTTACAAGGACAATACTGTCTCTTCCTGATAGTGCTTATGATGTGTGCTGAATACAACCACAGAACTACTTTCATTAAAATCATAATGAACAATCTCACCGTCCTGTAGGAATCACATGATGCTCTAACTAATAAATGCATTTCCAAATGAGACACTAAAAATAAGGCTAGCTCTCCATTTTAGGTCCTTCAACTCTGATTTTTTGAGAGATCTCATCATAATGTAAACTCCCTCCTCCCTCTCATTTTGCACACATGCCCTAAATTCAAGAATTTCCAAGCCTGTACAGTAAGCGGAAATTTCCCCAAGTAACATCAATCCATAAATCAGGGCAGTAATGGGATCTCTTGCTATTGTAATGCATTTATCATAATAACAGCTTCTAAATGTAATTTAAAAATGCAATTTTCCACTGCTTAAATTAGCTAGCTGTACAATGTGCATTCTGATGGCACCTATGGATTATTCTCAAGTGATCATAATAATGGCGATTTGTTGCCCCAAATTATGTCGTTCTGCAGTAATGTAAGGCTGAGTTGAAGCTGTTAGGTTGTATGAAAACTGACAACCACCCAGATTTTGAAAGTTAGGGAAAACAAGCTGGAGTCTCATGAGAGCATATTCTGCTTTCCTTTCTCCTGGAATGCCATTGAAAACTATAGGTACTGTGAGGCTCCCCATTTCCTCCAGGATAAAAATAAAAACAGCTCTGTTTTGCATTCCAAGTCCTTCATAATCTGGTTCCTACCTATTTTTCTGGATTGATTTCTCATTATTTTGCTTCACACAGTCTATGTACCAGATAGGCTGGCCTCCTGAATGCTCTCTATATACAGTATTTCTATGGTCCACCACCACATTTTTGCACAGGCTGTTCCATAAACCTATAACACAATCCTGTCACACCTATACCTTTAAGAAACTGGAACTTCCTTCGAAGTGCAGCTCAAGAGTGAACTTCTATATGAGATCTTTCTAGATCCTTCTAATTATTAGTACCTTGCTGCCACCTCCTCCCAAAATGCTTTTCTATATACTGTGCATGCTTTATATGAACTTAAATCATTTATATGTTCATCTCCTCAATCCCTCCCCCTAATAGAATATAAGCATCTTAAGGGCAGTGACAGATTGATTTTGCCTTTGTATCCCCAAAGTCTAGCAGACTGCCTGACAGAGACAATTCTTAATAAATACTTACTAAAAGAATGAATTGGGACTGGCCCTCGAAATGAGCCAAAGTGAGTGAGATTTATTTCACCAAAAAAGCATCTTGATCTAGAGAGGCAAATTAACACTTTTGAAGTGCAGAGTGATCAGTTGACTAAAAATAATTTCCATAAGTGGGAGCAATAAACTAGTGTACTGGAAGGGTTAATTTATCTCACACGGACAAGCAGTCATTCTAAATGCAGTTATCTTTCAGTTCTGCATGTTAATGGAGGAAAAATCATTCCAAATAATCCAAATAGTACAAAAAGCCAATTCTTTGTTTCTTTTTCTTTTTTTCCTTTCTTCCATTTCTTCTTTTTCTCTTCTTTTTCTTCCTTTTTTCTCTTCTTTCCTTTTTCTTCTTCTTTCTCTCTGTTTCTCTATGTCTCTGTGTTTCTCTTTCTCTCTCCCTTTCTTTCTTCCTTCCTCACAACTTTTTTTTTATTTCTCTACTCTCCGTATCTCACTTATGCTGGGATTGCCACATCCACTCATAGGCCCAATCATACTACTGATGAGAATGGAAGTTTTAACCTGCTACATTTCTAAACTGAATCATTTCACTGCTCTTTGGAAGCCTGGTGCACCACTGCTCCTCCCCGCCCAGGAACTCATCATATTGGGGCCAGTCTTAGTGTGGACACCCAAACGGCTTTAGCCCTACTGTAGCTCAGAATCCCTACATTCAAGTTTTATCTAGCTTCCCTCAGTAGTAAGGATTACAAAGGTACATCACCATGCCTGGCCAACATTAATTTCTTAAGGCTTTGGAAAGCTGTGTTTTACTTTATTGTCATCAGAACAGTTCATATAGGTCTATTATCCAGTGGGAAAATTCCCTCCACTGATGCAGAAATTGATTGGGAAGTAGCAACGGTCAGAATTGCTCTACCAAAGCATTCTGGATCCCTTGGGGAATAGGATGTCAGTAGCTCAGATCTAATGTATAAAAGAGCTTCTGGACCAAAGACATACTGCAAGTATTGAGCATAAATTGACTCTAGAACAATTTCTTTCTTCTACTGTAGTATGTGCCTTGGATTTTGTTGATATCTGCCTCAGGATGTGGTCACAACTAGTTCATAAATTTGATAATTTAGTGATTTAAGCCTTCCTACAATTCTTATCTGAAACCGACGGACAAAATGAACAGTTGGCCAAGCACTGAAGTGGGAGAGATGGTGAAGTACCCTTAGGAACTACTTCTAAATTGATGATGATTATAATAATGATAATAATAATAAAGTGCTTGTATACAGAGGATAATCCAGGGAGAATTTGAGAGTTCAATAGCTTCATAAATGTGTTTTCCCAGAGTGGACTGTGTACTATGTAGTAAAGCAGGGAGCAACCAGGAGAAAGGAGTAACTATTTGGGGGAAAATAGAAAAGACAGACCTGAAAAAGAAAAAAAAAAACTAGACTGTAACTTATAGACTTTAGGGAATTGACTAAGGTACTGTTAAGTGATTTGCCCATGGTCACACAATTAGCTGTATCAAAAATAAGATTTGAACCCAGGTCTTCCTCACTCTAAGGCCAATCCTTATCCACCAAGCCACGTTGCCTCTCCTTGGGAAATATTGCATGATTTTGTACGTGTTTGTGGCAGACTTACTTCTTGATTGCTGACACTTAACCTAATATAGAAATAGCATATTATCTGAACACATACATTAATAACAGTTTGACATTATGGGTGTGTGTTGAGAGGGAGAAGGTCACAGCAAAGGGAGAAGTTCTGGGAAAGATGTAGTTTGTAAAAAAACATGGGATGAAAGAGGAAGTTGGACCTGTCAAGATTTCCAACAGGTTATCTATGAAAATTGCAATTCACAGGTGGATAACTGATAATCAACTATAAATCTTTTGTGTCTAGTAGTTTATTCCAAACTTGTTCCCAAATCATAAATTAAAAGAAAACTAAGAATGAAAGAACTTCAGTTCAGTGTTGGGTCTTTGTTTGTTTGTTTTCTTCAATGAATAATGATTGGTCCAGTCCATACCTATCATTTCATCAATGTGAGGAACTCCCAGTACCTTCCTCCTATACAAATGGGCAATTGCCAGGAACTTAAAAAGCTGTCTGGGAGGCACTAAAAGGTTCAATGACTTGCCCAGTGTTACATGTATAGTAATTGATAGAGGCAGACCTTGAACCCGGGTCTTTCTAACTCCAAGGCCTATCCTCTAACTACTTCACTATGCCATCTCAAAGCCTTCATTTTACAAATCATGAAAAAACACAAAACAAAAGAAAAATTTAGACCTAATACAAAATCCTTAATTTCTACCACCATAATTGCTCTAATTGCAATAAAGGTTGATTAAGATCTTCTTGGGAAATGTTTATTTTATCTGATTAAAAAAAAAGAAAGAAAGAAAAAAAGAGTCTTCTTGTACTACCGTACTGGGATAAGTGGATTTATGGCTCATAATCCTGGGGTCACTTAATTTTCCCTAAACACCAATTTCTACCTAAAATCAATAAGGAATTCTGAAGCCATTCCAATAATCACCCTTAAGTATCATATTAAAGGGATTTAGCTGCATGATCTGTTTTAAACTGCTCTCAGGAACAATTGGCTGCTTTTCACAGGAGTTGAAAGAAAAGATGGATGAGCTCCTGCCCTTGATCCCAGTCCTGGAACAGTACAAAACGGATGCCAAGTTAATCACCCAGTTCAAAGAGGAAATTAGGAATCTGTCTGCAGTCCTCACAGGAATTCAGGAAGAAATTGGGGCCTATGACTATGAGGAACTACATCAGAGAGTGCTTAGCTTAGAAACCAGACTTCGAGACTGCATGAAGAAGCTAAGTAAGTTTAATGATTTTATTTACTTTTCTGAGTTACATGTTTATCTTTACTAAAACTAACCTTTTGCTTTTGTAATACTGAATATAGCTATTCTAAGAAGCCAAGGAAGCCTTCTTACCCTCAAGTATCGAGATGATGAAACTGATTTACTCAACATAAGTGGAGGCTATATATGATTGGGAAAAGAAAGTCCCTTTGATTTTTTTGTTTTGTTTTGTTCTTTGGTGGCAATCAGGGTTAAATGACTTACCCAGAGTCACAAAGTTAGTAAGTGTCTGAGGTCTCATTTGAATTCAGGTCTTCCTGACTCCAGGGTCCATGCTCCATCCATTTCACCTCCTAGCTTCTCTGTAAGTCCTTTCAACTTAAACATATTTTCAAAAGCAAGCTGTTTTGTTTTGAATAGCAGAATGATGTTCCATTGTTTCTTTTCAAACGTCCTTGAATGGATAGCAATCTTGTCTCTGAGTCAGAAAGACTTGAGTTTAAATACTGCCTCTGACACACACTGGTTGGATGACCTTTGGAAAATGATCTAACCTCTCAAGGCCACGGGGGTTTGATAAGAACATAGTTAGAAAACACAGAGCAAAATGCAAGATCAGCTCCAATAACAGTTGCAATGAGTCGACAGACTCCTCGTGCCTCTCTGTCATTCCACAGAGATATGTATCTCTGATGTTAGTCTCATTTTAACTGTACAAGGTGAGGTTCTTGTCTCATCAGAGGAGCAACGACCCCTCTCCTTGTAGCTTTCAGAGAGAGGGAACCCACTACCTCCCCCAAAAGTGTTTTGGATAGCTTTAATACTTAGTAATTTTCTTCTGTCATGAAACCTTAATGTGCCTCTTTGCATCTTCCAAACACTGTTCATAGTTCTGCCTAGAGGAGCCCAGCAGACAAGCCTACAAATTCATGAGAACAGGTGTTCTATCTTCCCCAAGCTTTCTCTTCTCCAAGCTAAATTACCCCAGGTCTTTCAAATGATCACCATGAGCATTAAGTCAAGGCTCTTCACCATCCTAATCGTCCTCTTCTAGACATCGTCCAACATATCAATGTCCCTCTCTGAGTAAAATGTTCCTGAAATGAATTAAGTATATGTGAGGACTTAATGATATTTGATTAGAAAATGACTGACTTTCTGGGAAGCTGGGTACCATTTTAGTAACATGAAAATCACAAGATCACAAATACAACTAAATACACCAAGATCCGTGCTTGCATTATATGACCTTTGAAGTCTCTTCCAACTCTAAGTATCTTTAATAATATAGATATAATGAGTGTATGCAATGATTTAAGCTTTATAATGTGTTTTGTTCACAGGAGGTAGGGAGTGAAAATATCAACATGCACAGGAAAGGGAACGTTGACTCTAGAATCAGAGGCCTGGATTAAAATTCTACTTCTGACATGGACCTCTGTGACTCACCTATCCTCCCTGAATCCTACTTTTCTAATTTGAAGGTGGTGGGCTAGGGGGCCCATGAGATCCATTCCACCTCTGGATCTAAGATTCTATGATACTCCTTTACAGATGAGAAAAACAAAGCTCAGATAAGTGATAAGTGAAGTGAATTGTCCAGGTTCACATCACTTGAAAGTGTTAGTACCAGAACTCAAGTCTAATGACCGCAAACAATGCAGGCACACTATAAATGTATAGTATCTCTAATAGCCTTGTTAATGGAAAAGAATGTAATAGATATGGCCAATGACCCAAAAGGTGACTGAAATAGTGAGAAAGCTACTGCGTAGAGAATGGGAAACGGCAGTGGGCAAACCGTCTTTACATTCATCCTGCAGAATGGTGGTGTCTGTGGTTCAAATCTATGGGAAGGGATAAAAGCCAAAGAGAATATTCCTGGCTCACAGACAGAATTCATAGCCTTTGTCCATGAATTGACTACAGAACCACTGCTATTTTCTGTAGTGGGATGTGGTTTGGATTTTGTTGGTTTCTACATCAAGATCTAGTCATGACTACTTCATAAACTTTATGAGTTGATGATTTCACTTAGGCCCTACTGGGATTCATGTCTACAACACAGATATAAAATGAGTAGTTGGCCACAGACTGAAGTGGGAGGGAAGGTGAAGCCCCTTCAGGAACTAACTCTATGTTGTTAAGAAAAAGGAATGCTTGTGCATAGAGGGTACTCAAGGGAGCACTTGGTTCCTCATTAACTTCAGAAAAATGTTTCCCCTGAGCAGAGTAAGACTATGTACCAAAATAGGGGAGAAGCAACAGTTTGGGAAAAAGAGATGGCTGGGCCTGGAGTCAGCAAGACCAGATTTCAAATCTGGCATCAAACACTTACTGGGTAAATGTCTGGGCTAGCAATATAACCTTTGTTTCACTTTCCTCTTATGTAAAATGGAGATAATTAATAATGCCTATATCCCAGATTTCAGTGAGAAGAAAATGAGTTAACACTTGCAAAGCACTTTGCCAACCTTAAAGTGCAACATGAATTGTAGCTATGATTATTAGAGAGGAAATACCTGAAAAAGAAAAAAGAATGTGCACAGAATTTCAGGGTTGGAAGGGTGCTATGAAGCCAGCCAGACTAACTACTGGCTAAATAAATGAAAAGACACCTAAGGCACCGCACTTCATTTTCAGACAGCTATAATCATTAAGTGTCCCCTTGAGTCAAATTTGCTTCTTTGCAACTTCCTTCTATTTTATTCTTCTCTTTTTTGTTATTTTCAGTCATTTTCAGTCATGTCCAACTCTTCCAGCCCCATTTGGGGTTTTCCTGGCAAAGATAATGGAAATGGTTTGTCATTTCCTTCTCCATCTTATTTTACAGGTGAGGAAACTGAGACAAACAGGATTAAGTGACTTTCCCAGGGTCACTAAGCTATTGACTATCTGAAGCTGTATTTGAACTCAGGAAGATGAGTCTTCCTGACTCAAGGCCCAGCACTCCATCCACTGTGCCACCTCTGAGGTTAAGCAAAATAAGCCTGATCACTTCTCCACATGACAGTCCTTCAATATTTCATGATAGCTACCATGTTGCCCTGAATCTTCTTTTCCTAGTCCTTTCTGCTGATAACCATAGGCATGAACTAGACACCGTTTACCATCCTAGCTGTGAATTCATTAAATGGCCTTGCTTAAATACATACACACACACACACACACACACACACACACACACACACACACACACACACACACACACAGATGTTCCTCTTATCTAATCAAAGGTTAGATGGCAGTTGTTCAGGTATATATGCTATTCCAACTTTAAAGACTGTCGATAGTTATAGGATGAAAAATTTAGGTCTTAGACCTCATCAAGTCCAATAACTTCATTTTGCCCACAAGGATACTGAGACCCAAGGGTCACACAGCTATCTGAGCCCAGATCTTCCCGATTCCAAATCCAGGGCAGCATCCATAACACCACACAGATAAAGACCTAGGCAAATTGTCATAAATAAAATGTGGTGTCACCATAGAAGGAGACAGTTGCAGAATAGTCTATTCCTTAGATGTCACATAGGTTCTACCCTATCTCATTAATAAAATGAAATCTGAAAGCTATACTTTATGCTGACCTCTATGGCAGTTATCACAGAAGGACATTCTATCATAACCATTAATAGAACATTCTTTTCCATTATGAATCATGAGAAATGACATCACAGAAATTAAAAATATAAAGAGAAACCCTAAGCTAGTAACAAAAATCACCCAACACCTCATTCCAGATCAGTGGCCATCATTTTGTAGGGAAAGCTCATGTAGATTGCCTTTCATAATCATTGTTTACAGAGATAAATGAGTGACTGCCAAGCTTGTGCATTGTGTGTATGTGTGTGTATACATACATACATACATACATACATACATACATACATACATACATATATATACTCATTTTAGCAGAAATGAAATAATTGGAAAAGAACAGGAGAATGTTATATCTTTGTCACAGAATGATTTAAACTAAATAACTCTTTGTTATATTCTGTCATGATAAGAGTAGCTTGGATTACTTGATAGGTTATGCTATTTTTAGCTGAGATAAAGAAAAACATGAGAGTCATCATGACATACTAGAGGTCCAGCCTCAGACATGGGAAGACTTGGGTTTGTAGATGTAGATAGAAAGAACCTTTGAATATATTTATTACAATCCCCATATTTTACAAATGAGGAAACTGAGGCTAGGGAATATTAAAGGACGTGCCCAAGATCACAGAAGTATTGGGGGTTAGTGGTAAGTTTTGAGCCTAGCTCCTCTGCCTCTAGGACTAGTGCTCTTTCTACTCTGTCCTGCCTCTGACATATGGCTATGTGAAACACTGTGCATGTCCTGAGAGACTAGAGTGGGAATGCATCTTCACCACAACCACCAACCAAATAAACCCCTTCTCTCCCAAAAAGAAAACATTATAACACTGAAAGTATAGATAACGATGTAGAAGCTAAATATATGCCTTCCAGGAATGAGGGAATGACCCTGTTTAAACACATAGAGATATCAGCCATTGCTCCATCCTACATTCATGGACATCGCTTACCCATTCAGTGCCCCTAGTATCTCTCTAAGACTGTAAATTGAAAATCCATTACCAACTTGCACTGGTACAGGGAAATTCCTCGTCATAGTTTCCCTATATCAATAAAATTACAGGTTCAGTATTTCATACTGAAAAGGAAAAATATATATTTATAAAATCACAGAAGTTAAGGTTTAGAAGGGGCCTCAAAAGGCTTCTAGTTAACTGAGCAGAAATCGCCTCTACAACATCAAGGATAAGTTTATTCATTATCTATTTGAAGATCTTTAGTGATAAAGAGCTCTCTATCTTAATTATTTTTAGATCCAATAATTAGGGAGTTTAACCTTATATCAAGTGAAAATCCACCTCTTTGGAACATCTGACCTTTGTTTCCAATTCCACCTTTCAGTGGCAGCTAAACAAATCTAAACTCTCTTCCTTTTTGAAGCTCAGGGAAATGTCCTGAGATGACC